TGTGTGCTGCAGCATTCCTTCAGCGCTGTGATTCACTTCGCGGGGCTGAAAGCTGTGGGCGAGTCGGTGGAGAAGCCGTTGCTCTACTACAAAGTGAACCTCACCGCCTTCATGAACCTGCTCGAGGTCAGTCAGTAGCTCCTGGGTAATCTGAACTCAGATCTGCACTCATTATTAATCCCTGCTCTGACCTTATTCCGTGTTTGCCGAGCGCACACCCGTGTGTTCATTTGAAAATGAGCTGATCAATTCTAAAACCGCATCCTTCTGATATGTTATGCATGTGGAGCTCATCATAACAGCCAGAATCAGCCTTTTTCCCTCAGCCCTGAGCTGAATGCGTGTGTGCTGTGGACTGCTGCCTCGCTGGCCACTGATTGTGTGTATGTGCCGTGTTTATGTGTATCTGCATGTGCCCCAGGTGATGCAGGCTCACAGAGTGCGCAATCTGGTCTTCAGCAGCTCCGCCACAGTATATGGAGACCCCCAGCGCCTCCCCATAGATGAGCAGCACCCCGTGGGAGGCTGCACTAACCCCTACGGGAAGACCAAGTACTTCATCGAGGAGATGGTCAAGGACCACTGTAAAGCTGAGAAGGTAAACTGAGAAGAAACACATTCACAGACGCGCACACTTCCATCTCCTGAGTTGTCTCATTATTCCTTCTCTGTGGGCAGGACTGGAATGCTGTGCTGCTGCGCTATTTCAATCCGATCGGAGCTCATTGCTCCGGTCAGATAGGAGAGGACCCTCAGGGTATCCCTAACAACCTGCTGCCATATGTTGCCCAGGTATCTAAAGTCTCTGCCAGATGCCACGCTGTGCTCATCATAGTGACTGTGTTTCAGTCTTTCATCTGTCTCCATGAATCACATGACTCCGATTTGCTTGCATTGCTTAATTTAGGTCGCCGTCGGGAGACGAGAGTGTCTGAGCGTATACGGGAATGACTACGACACGATCGATGGCACAGGTAACGCAAATCACTGCAAATCACTGCAAATCACTGCACTTGCTTTGAAATAGCACTTTAAATAGCAGCCAGATTCTCAGTACCATGAAAACGAGGCTCCTTTCTCTTTGCAGGTGTGAGAGATTACATTCATGTTGTGGATCTGGCAAAGGGACACATAGCTGCTCTGAAGAAGCTGAAGGAGGACTGCGGGTGCAAGGTATAACAACTTGGAGCAAATTTCCATCACGACCATTGTCACATAGATGCTTTAGATATTTATTAGTGTGTGTGTGTCTGTAGGTTTACAACCTTGGGACAGGAAAAGGCTACTCAGTGCTTGAGATGGTGAAAGCCATGGAGAAGGCTTCCGGAAAAGAGGTGAGTCACCGTGGTTACTGTGAGAGCTGAATCATGTTTATAGTCTAGAAGTGACGCAAAGCACGACCAATCTGGCACTGTGGAAATACCTCTGATCACCTTATTTGTCCGTGTAATTAACATAATGTGTTTTCTGTTTAGATCCCATATAAGATCGCCCCTCGCAGAGGCGGAGACGTAGCGTCCTGCTACGCCGACCCTCGCGTAGCTGAGAAGGAGCTGGGCTGGAAGGCTCGATTTGACCTGGAAAGAATGTGTAAGGACAGCCACGCCGGAAAATCAGATTCTTCTCCATGATTGCTCTTCTACAGTCAAATAAATGCGTTGTTGTATCTCCCGTATGATCTCTGTGTTTTTTCTTTGCACCCATTCCATGCAGGTGAGGACCTGTGGCGCTGGCAGTCCATGAACCCCACCGGATTTTCCAACGGCACTTGCTGACGCAACCCGAGCAGACTGTTGCTTAAAAATCCTCTTTTTAAAATCACCAAAGGGAACCACCAGCTTCCTCGTTGGCGCAATGACACATAAGACCTCAAGAGAAGCTGCATTGTTTTTATTTTTGTTAAACTCCAATGATTCAGCTGACGACAAGAAGAGTATCTAAATGTCTGTTTACTCTCTGCTGTTAGCTCAGACTTAACAACTGATATTTTCTCTATAAATGTATTGATCTGTGAGCCATAACAATGAAAGAATAAATTAATTTTCTTACTGAAGAGCTGAAACGCGCACTTTGCCTTGACTGTCTGAGTGATTGTGAGCCAGGTTTTTCTTGTTATATACATATAAATATTTTTCTGAAATACGCGGGCAGATTAAATCTCGGACCTGTGTGTTAAGGTTAGAGGAGCATCGTGAGCCCTGCACAAATACTGTATGAATATCGCTCCTTTCGCAACGAGGGCGTCTGTTTAAACGGGGCGCTGGGACTTTAAATGGCTCCTTGAACCCTCGGGCACCCAGTTAATAAACACCCACGTCAGCACTGTGCTCCAGTCGGTCTAACCGGGTTTCGGTCTTTAGGGCTGAGCAGGAAGTGCCTGACTGTGGACCCTGGACGAGCAAAGAAAAGAGCGGAGGGGGGGAAAGGCAAACGGGAATTAAACATGGATATGGTGGCGGACTTGGGGGCGAGCAGGCTGTACAGGGCGCCGGGTGAATCGAGCCACCAGTGAGTATCGATGGATTTTGTCAGGGGGGGGTATGAAGGCGTGGGGCGTAAGCGGGTCCTGCCGACACCTCGCGCCTGCGAAGCAGTCGCTCGCTTTGGGCAGCAGTCAAATCCTCCCCGCTGCTCGCCGGACCTCCGGAGAGAAGTGGGGGTGGTCTTGAGGATGAAAACGGGCGTGTTAGTGCGTCGTTGCCCCAGACTGTTACACAATGCGAATAGATGTGTTTTTCCAGCTCGCAGCGCGCTCACTTGCCGGAGGTTTGTGTCTGTTTTTCTATTGTGTGCTGGCTGAAGCCTGAAGTGGGCGTCGCTCCAGGACAGACAGACTGGGCTGCCCGCTTTCCTCTCGCAGGACTGCAGCACTGTCGTGTCGCTTTGTAGGTCGAAGGATGTCTGATTTCACGCGGAAGAGCTCGGTGGGGACGTTAGGCTTGATTTCGCGTGCCGTGAAAGGCACCGTGGAGTCCTGCGGGCGGGCGTTGCACCGTGGGTTGTCGGGCGCTGCGGAGGTTGTCACACAGCCGCGCTGATGGCTCATTAAACACGAAAGCGTGCAATCCCGAGCCTGCGCGAGCACGGATTGAACAGGTTACCGTGAAATAAGAAGTGTTCTGAAAATCAGGGTGCTGGACATTTTTTTTTCTCTTTGCGTGTCCGGCTGCAGTGTTTTATTTTCTCTTCCTACAAGTCTGACGCGTTTACTCCATCGGGGGTTTCCGGAGCGCGTGAGACCTCAGACATGATTAAAGGTTTTGTCACCCGATGCTCTCTGACTGACTTGAGTCGGGTGTAACCCATTAGGAGAAGATTTTGCCTGAAGGATCCTTCAACAAATCAAAATGCAGAAAAAAGTCAGGTGGGCGGGCCCTCTGCTGAGCCGGTGTAAAGACAAAGATGCAATAATTGACAGCTGCAAGCATGTGGTGATGCTGCTGTGTTTGTTATGCTCAGATCAGTGTGCCATGATTACCATTGCAGGCTGTTACCACACCATTAAAATCCAGACGCCTGTTTCCTTTATTTATCTTGTTAATTTGGCATTGGGAGAAGTTCAGTAATAAATGTCCACCAGGTCTGCAGGACTTCTGTCATTTCTTATTTTCTTGCTAAAGAAGTGAGTGTGTCCTGCATGCAGAGCTAGTGAGCAAGCTGTCGTGTTGTCTCCTGCAGGCAGCCTCAGAGGTGGTTCAACACGGCCGACATCACAGTGTCTCACCAAAGCAACATGCTGAAGCAGCTCAACCAGCAGCGCCGCCAGGAGCTTTTCTGTGACTGCAGTGTGTTGGTGGAGGGCCAGCTCTTCAGGGCTCACCGCAATGTTTTGTACGCCAGCAGCGGCTACTTCCGCATGCTGCTGTCCCAGGGGCCCGACGACTCTGTCAACGCCACCTTCGACGTCTTCAGCCCCGAGACCTTCACCGTCATCCTGGATTTCATCTACTCCGGCCAGCTGGACCTCTCCAGTCACAATGTGATTGAAGTTATGTCTGCAGCCAGCTACCTGCAGATGAACAACGTCATCAGCTACTGCAAGAACTTCATCAAGTCCTCCTTGGACATCAGTGTGAAAGATGAAGACAGCGATCGCTGCCTCAGCTTGTCTGAGACCTGTAGCTTTACCAGCGGAGCAGGAGAAGACTCCACAGAGCAGCATCAGGGCCCCTGCTCTGTCAGCCCTCCACCTGCGCTCTGGACTCGGGACAACTCCAGATCACAGTCTAGCTTTATGGGAAAGGACTCGGACCAGGATCCTTCGGCCTCAGCCCTGAAGACCGACCCTAACAGCCCTGTTAACGAGCTGAGTGCAGATGCGGAAGACCTCCAGGACCCTCAGGACCCTTTGTACACCTTGCCTGGATCAGAGCGTCGGCGTGGAAAAGGGAGCACAAAGAGGCGAGCGTCCAACAGCGCTCGGTCCAACCAGCAAGAAGACTTGGACATCCAGGAAGCACGGACACGAAAGGCTGAAAAGGCAGAGGAGCTTTACGCGACTCTACCACCGATTGTGGGTGTTATTGGACACTTTAATAAAGGTGTGTGCTGCCAGAAGATGATGACGACTGGGACACTTGGACAGAGATGATAGGAAAAAGTCAAATGTCACAATTTCTCTGTTCCTCTTTGCAGATTCGAATCCTACCATGCGCTTCAAATGCCCCTTTTGCACACACACAGTGAAGAGGAAAGCAGACCTGAAGCGTCACCTGCGCTGTCACACCGGGGAGAGGCCGTATCCATGCCAGGCCTGCAATAAGCGCTTCACTCGCCTGGAGCATCTACGCAGCCATTTTGAGACAGTAGGTGTTTTCACAGCAGATGGTGAATTTACACTTTCTTCTGTGTCTGTGTCGGCTTACAGCTCCAGGAAAACAAGCTGCTAAACAAATCGACTCTAATATTGAATAAATCTTTATCCGATCTTTTCTTTTTCTTTTTAATCGCCCAGATTCATCAAGCCAGGAAGCTGGTGTGCAGGAAGTGTAAGTGTCAAGTGACCGAGGAGACCGGGCATGTGGTGTGTGAGGGCACGAGACGCTACCGCATGTGCACGGCGTGCATCCAGGAAGTGGGCTGTGACGACGTCCCCATGAACAGCCTGGAGGGGCACAACGAGGAACCGGCGCTGTTACTGGGCGTGGACGGGGAGGAGGAGGGGGACACAAAGAGGAGCTGGATGGTGACTGACGACGATGACCTGGCAGAAGACTCGGGCGCCGACCTCATCATCCAGCAAGTGGACGTCAGCGACGAAGAGCTGCAGTGAAACTGGGCCAAAGTGTGCGTGTGTTTGTGTGTGTGCAGATGCGTAACCATATTTGAAGTGTTTGTGTTTTGAAGTGCCCCTGGTATGCTTCTTTTCAATTTAGGGGTTTACTACAATAAGTTTACATTCATTAATATTCAAAAATCATTTTTCTCATATTGTACTGTGCACAGTGTTACTGCTGCTCCTCTTTTCACCTTCTGCCTGAAATGATCTGTTCTAGGAAAGCGAGGTATCCAGCCAGAGTTACGAGTACTCCGGAGAGTACTTTAGCAAGAGCAGTTAATTAAATTACAATTTCATTAAAGAATTGATTGAACTTAAAGAATTTTTGGCAGATAATTAATTGAAAGTAATGGTTAAAAAGCAGAAAATAGTCGTGCATAAATGATTCAAACATGTAAGAAATGATCAAAAATGAAATATCCTGCTAAAAGCTAAAATCTTTAGCTAAGAGAATATGCAGTTCAAATGGTTCAATAGTGGATGAATATAACTGTTATATAACTGTTACAATTAAAACACAACAGAAAAATAACACAACTAAAGATGGTTAGCCATGCAGCACGTTTGTGATTTCTGCTGTCATTAGTTTTTTTTAATTAAAAATGGGAAAAAAAGAAATTCACCAGGTCTTCAGCTCATCAGCCGGAGGGCACAAAACCTTGTTTTCATTCTTTCAGCCTCGCAGAATATTTGGTTTGCTGACATGTTTTACATTTAGTTTGTAGAAAAGAGAAAAATGGCAGACTTTTAGGCAGTTGGTGCAACTGGATGTAGCTGAGGCGTTCTTTGTTTAGCTGCTGGACTGGCATTTTACATGGTGACATAGAGAAGTAACGGAAGAACAGCCAGTTTCACTTCAGTGTTTCATGTGTGTGGGTGAAACTTTACTTTTAATAAAGGTGTGAAGAATAGGGAAAAACCCCAAAAGCTTAACAGGGGCACTTTAAAGCCATGCAGGAGAGTTTATGCATAAAATGTGGGATTCACTCATGTAAAAACATACGTTTATGATATGTTGTGTATTAGTTTAGTCTTTTCTTATCAGTTTGTTGAGCTTTGTCAGAAAAAAAATGAAGGTTTTCTGTTAAGCTTCATAAAGATATGCAGTATCTGAAGCATGCATATTATGTGTTTCCTTTACTTCAATCATAATATGATATTATAATCTTTTCAATAAGCTTTTTTTTCTCTCGTGCATGAAAAGCTTCGGTCCTTTCGGCTGCTTTCTGCCGGCCTTTCAGCAAAAAGGTGAAGAACAGAATGATCACCTGTATCCTGTAGGGACAGTCTTTTTAAATGTTTTGTTATGATATGCAGTATGATACAAACGCATAATTTATTTGTTTGTTTGTTTTTTACTTTTGGACACATTAAAGATATTTTTATAAATTTGTTTTTGGGTCTTTAACTTTAATCACAAACAACTGAACGACTTCTCCTCGTTCAAAGGAGGCTCAGTTTTTTATTATTCTTATAGGAGTATTAAATGGTGTAAAATAAGATAGAAGTAAAGTCATAGAAAAATAAATAAGATAAAGGACAACGATTGTGGGAAAACTGGTAACAGTGAAAAAGTGCAATAAACTAAACCTGAAAAAATTATAAAAGTTTTGTCATCTTGGAACAAATACATCAGTATGTACAAAAACTTTACAACTCTGAATGCAAATTGAATGTTACCAATAAAATCAATTCTGGAGTCATTACGGCATCTGTGATGGAAAAGTTTAAATAATAAATGACAAAATATTACAACAATGTTGAGTATAACCTATTTAAACAGGGGAAAATTGGATCAAGATGAAAAATCATCTTCCAGTTAATTTCTGACAAACTGTTATCTCACTTTCTTGTACCTCGATGTAAACTTTCTATGGTTTGCTTTCATAATGGGGTATTTTGTAGTGTATTCTGACAATGATTTGCTTACATCTTCAAGAATGTTCTTGATTCGATGTTGTGGGGAGATTTTTCTCAACCATGGAAATAATTCTGTGATCATTCACTTTAGTTGTCCACTGAATTTCTTGCTACTCCTCTGATGCACCTACTTTTGTTCTTTAATTCTGAAAGTTCCTGTCGTGGAATTTTTTAGTAATGAAGTCTGCAACACGGTCAGCTGTGGTCAGGCTATTTTAATTACTGCAGGAGAGCCAACACACATCAAACATCACAGTTCACAGTCACGCGAGCTCTGCCCTTAAGATGTTGAAGGTCTCTTTTATACCCTCACACACAACTCTCTGTATTTTTTCCGTTGCGACAGTTTTTTTTGTCCCATGGGCTGTTGCTGGGCATAGAGCAGTTTCCCTTAAAGATCCTGGCACTGGTCTTCTTGGGAGTTTCGTCTTTGTACGCCCTTACAGTTAGCAGATAACACCTTGAAACATCGTTTCACAAGGTTATATTGACACATAATGTGAAAACTAGAATTTTCCCCATTACATTACAGATAAAAGCTACCAAACACAAGTTCAACACTTTGACAATAAATCAACTCTATATGTTTTATCTGGTTAAACTGCCTTGCCATTTACCACTGAAGCTCTGAAAATGAAGGACCACGAACACATAGTCTTTCATCCATAGTTTGCCACTGTAATAGTAATATAATTACAAATATTGTGGACCTAATTATATTTTAAAAGGAAAGGAAACATATCTGGCCACAAGGAAAACCAAAAGTGAGCTAAATTAAAAATTAAAAGATAACAATTAATAATCTGGTTTTGCTTGAAGTTTCTTCCTGCTAACATTGAGTTTTCTCTTTCCACTGTCCACAAGTGCTTGCTCACAGTGTGTCGTTTGATTTTGGGTGTATTGTAGTTGATACAAAGCGCCTGGAGGAAACTATTATTGTGATTTGGCGCGTCATAAATCATAAACAATCCTTTCAGTTCCACCCTTTCGCCCATAGATGGCGTCCACGCGGTGCTTTCGTGAGCCTGTGAGGACTCCGCGCCTGGAGGGAACGTCGTGACGTCAAACCGCAGGCTGGACCATCATGGCGACTGTCATGAAGCTCGTCCACAGGAACGCTTTAACGTCGCTTATGGGGCAGCACTGCCTGTCGTTCAGCTCCGCGGCGGCGCACAGAGCAGTGAGTTTGAATCCTGTGTGATACGACGCGCTGCTTAGATGCACGGCCGTGTTTGTCCGCTAGCTGTTAGCGTCCCCTGCTGTTATGCTAGTTGCTACATGTTCGAGGCCCCTTATTAGCTGATGGTAATTTAACACCACGTGTTTCTTCTGTTTGTGTTTTAGGCTGGAGTAAGAGCGGCCCAGGCTTTTCCAGGGAAGGTGAAAATAGTGGAGGTGGGACCAAGAGACGGCCTTCAGAATGAGAAGGTAGCGTGTGTTTGATGGCGCAGGCGCATAGTTCGTGCTTTGCGTCACCAGACGATAACAGAGTTACCCGAGTTAGTTATGTCGATCCTTACATAACCAACTCTTTGCACTTTCAGACTCTTGTACCAACAGAGGCCAAAATTAAATTAATTAACATGCTGTCAGAGTCGGGGCTATCCGTCATTGAGGCTACCAGCTTCGTCTCCCCAAAGTGGGTTCCACAGGTGAGTATGCACCCCCCCACACGCACACACAGTGCTGGCACATCCGGCTAAGGGCAGTACAGAAACTGCATGACTTCTTTTTGTCACTGCTGACCGGTTTCTGTCATCCAAATGTCAGATGGCAGACCAGGTGGAGGTGATGAAGGGTATCAGCAGGAAGCCCGGGGTGACTTATCAAGTCCTCACCCCCAATCTCAAGGGTTTCCAGGCTGCTGTGAGTGTCAAGCATCCAATCTCATCAACCGTCACTACATAAACATCCTCCATCGCCATCTTCACACACAATCGGTGGTGCTTCAGTTTAATTCCTCACAAGAAATGCTCTTATTTACTTCAGGTCAAGGCAGGAGCCCCAGAAGTAGCCATATTTGGTGCTGCGTCTGAGCTCTTCAGCAAGAAGAACATAAACTGCTCAGTGGATGAGAGTTTACAGCGCTTTGACGAGGTTATGAAAGCGGCTAAAGAGGCCGGCGTGCCAGTTAGAGGGTAAGAATAGTGGCCTCCCCTCAACTGTCAGCAGATCTTTAAATCACTGCCCTCTAATTCTTGTTTATGTGCTTCTTGTCATCACAGTTATGTCTCCTGTGTCGTCGGATGCCCATATGAAGGCAAGGTGGCACCTGAAAAAGTGGCACATGTGAGTTATGGCTTGTTTAAAAAAAAATGCAAAACTATTTTTGCATTAATTGATGTCGCCGCTCAATCTGTCCTCTGCCTCACAGGTAGCTAAGCGGCTGTACTCCATGGGCTGCTACGAGATTTCTCTGGGTGACACCATCGGAGTGGGAACTCCAGGCAGCATGACTAAAATGTTGGAGGCAGTGATTAAAGAGGTGCCCGTCAGTGCGTTGGCGGTGCACTGCCATGACACCTATGGCCAGGCTCTGGCTAACATCCTTGTAGCTTTACAGGTCAGGCTGGTTTGAGACTATTTTGTTTACACACACATATTCTAGGGCTGCCACAAACGATTATTTTGATAGTCGAATTGTCCGATCATGCATCCGTTGGACCTGAAATGTACAGCTTATTGCTCCAGCATGTAACTGCTCTTACATAACTATCATTAGCTTACAGCTTAAAGTGTTTAAGGTCTGTGCTCCCTAAAAATAAAGATACGATGACAGTTTATTAAAGATTAGATTTAGATTAGGTAAAACTTTATTAATCCCTCGGGTGTGTTCCTCTGGGAAGTTCTGTTTCCAGTAGCACATCACCGACAGAAATTGCAAAACGCAAGCAGAAATAGAACACACACATATATATATAATATATATTTATTAGGGGTGCAACGATACACAAAATTCACGGTTCAGGTTCGATACTTTGGTGTCACGGTTCGACAAAAATGTTCATGCTTTTTTTAATTTGTCATTTATTAAAATTATAAATATATATTTTAACTCAATTGTACACTTTATTAAATTTAATGTTGCTGAAACAACAAAGGGATAGAGTGATGAGAAGTCACTTACGGGACGACTGTGGCTCAGCGGGTTGGGAAGCGTATCTGCAACCGGAAGATCGCCGGTTCAATCCCTGGGCTCCCTGTCCTGGTCGTTGTGTCCACTTTACCTACTGGTGTTGGCCAGAGGGGCCGATGGCGCGATATGTCGGTCTGCCCCAGGGCAGCTTGCCTCCACCAGTGTGTGAATGAATAGTGGCATTGCAAAGCGCTTTGGGTGCCTTGAAAAGCGCTATATGAATTCATTATTATTACTCATGTTTGGTAAAAGATTTTAGAGTTAGCTCTTGTGCAAAAAAGAGTAATAAATAGAAACTTATACTATATTCTCAGCAGCATATTAAAGCTGACATGTGTGCTTGTTGTTTTGTCCACTTGTCTTTGCACTATTCACAGTCATGTGCAGTCATATTCACAGGGCTCCTACCTAGGGTAGATTGACTTCAGCACCGCCACACACACTTCCTAATCTCTACTATCTACTAATCTCACTCTACTATCAATATATCTACATACTATCAATCACTTTCATAACAATCCTGGGGGGTGATGATATCCCCCCTGTCCTGACTCCTCCTTGCCGTAGCATGTGTGTTGTACCTAGTCAATCTCTAACTGCAGTAGCTTATCTTTACTGGATACAGATGCCCCAGGCGGGAATCGAACTTAGAACTCCCACTCCAGAGGCATGTAGTCTTACCACTACGCTATCCAGCTCCTATAAAAAAATACTTTTATTTCCCCCTTTACCATCATAATCAAGGGACTCTAAAAAAGCTCTGCAATTAGTGAAAATTGTGAATGAAAAATCTAAGATAAATAATGGAGCTGGAAAATTGTTTTTGAATTCAACCGTGGGTGAAAATCACCTGACGTTAGTGTTCTGGGGTTAATCTTTGAGTAATGCAGAAGGATAATTGGGTGTCCTTTTAGCTGATCTGTTGTTTGCAGATTTGTACTCAAATATTTGATTTCTTTAGGCGGGGTTTGTATCATCAGGCTTGAGTTCGCCTCACTGTCGCCTGCTTGGGCACTACTTTTTAACCTTCTTAAAAAAAATACAGAGGAAAAACATTATTTGTGGTTCTGCTTTTCGGAGCAGGAGAGTGAGGAACACCTCTCTGTACACCGAGGGAGCTGCAGCAAGGCTGACGCTTTTATTGTTTGTAAATGGGGGAAAAAGGAAGAGTCGTTCCGTTGCTTCCAATTTTCTTTCTGTGTGATTATATAGAGGAAGTCACATGACAGCCATTAACTTCCAGCTGGTGGTGCCATGTTGTTTGTGTGTATTTTTTCTTAATCACCTCGTTTTGCTGTTGATTACCA